TTTATTCTGTTTATTCCATTTTTATTCTTATTTTTATTCTGTTTATTCCATTTTTATTCTTATTTTTATTCTGTTTATTCCATTTTTATTCTTATTTATTCTGTTTATTCCATTTTTATTCTTATTTTTATTCTGTTTATTCCATTTTTATTCTTATTTTTATTCTGTTTATTCCATTTTTATTCTTTCCATTTTTATTTCGCACGAAGAACCGCGGTCTAGCGATAAAGTTGATCGGGTGCAAACGCGGAAATTTCATCGCGTCGCGTCCGACGACGACTGCCAAGCTTAAGGGTCATTGGCCACGGCATTGATACGGCTCGATCACTGGGATCCAACTGGCCGGATCGCTGACCGCTCGTCGCGGAAGCGCCGGCGAATAAATCGCGATCGAGTCGATCGCGTGACGATCGATGCCCGATCGATGACAGTTAAGCCACGGCTAATTGATTGGGTTCGACGGTGCGCGCGTCATAGCTTCCGGCTAAAGACAATTATCGATCACTCATAATCGAATTGCTAATAGACCGCTAATGGATTCTTGTGCAAATCGACTGCATTAAGAGGGCGATATTCGAAATTCGAAGAAATCAATTACAGGGATTTTATCTTTATGGAAATGCATCGCGAAGTTCCCCTTGTGCGTGCGCGATTTCCAAACAGGCGTTTGCACGCGCGTCACAGAGATCGTGATCGTCCAAGCCACTGTTTTGAAATTTCTTGGCGAGGATCCTTGATCGAATCGATCGCGCTCGAGTGTACACGCGGAAAGAGCAAATGAAGGAGAGCAAGAATCGATCGGTTTCCGTGTCAGATGATTCGATGTAATTTCTTGCTCTGTTTTACTGTATTTTCTTGTTCTTTTTTTCTTGTAATTTCTTGTACTCTTTTTTTCTTGTATTTTCTTGCTGATTCTTCTCGTCCTAAGTGCACTCTTGTATCTCTGTTGAAACGTTTTAATAAGTCGTAATTAACATAATTAACCAGCAGTTCTTAGTTTCTTTTAAATTTCCTCACTATTCTACGATTCGCCCCCGTACATGTATTTCTCCGAAACTGCATAAAATTCGCTGTCCGGTTGCAATTATCATCGCGAAAATAAATTGCAGCGCGAATTTATTGCGAAAAGAAATCGCAGCATAAATTTATTGCGAAAAGAAATTACGGTGTATACATTTATTGGGAAATGTGATTATACTATAAATTCGTTGCAAAAATATATCATTGCGTGCATCTATTGCAAAAATAAATTATTGCGTGCATCTATTGCAAAAAAAAATAGATTATTGATATACATTTATTGGGAAATGCAATTATGGCGTAAATTTATCGTGAAAATAAATTATGGTAGAAATTTCTTGCAAAAACAATATATTCTAGAAATTTATTACAAA